CAGGGCTTCGGGTTTAGGGTGGTCTCTCGCATATCGAAGGCTCCGGGTGCAGATCTTGCCTCGGGCCTTCAAGATGAACCGTACCCCGAGGGTTTAGGGTTTAGGGTTCAGGGTACAGAGTTTAGGGTTCAGGGTTTAGGGTTTGGGGTTTGCGGTTTACGGGTTTCGGGTTTAGGGTTTAGGGTTTAGGGTTTACGGTTTCGGGTTTCGGGTTTAGAGTTCAGGGTTTACGATTCGACTCGTCTTTGAACGTCTGGTGAAAGAAGAGGCTCTGCACACCTTCGTACGAGCAATGAGACTAGTTTTTATACGAATAATGCCATTACTAACACTAATAGTCATACTGTAACAATACTATTGATCCTAAACCCTAAACCCTAAACCCTAAACCATCAGGAAAAACTTGAATAATACGAAGAATGCGAACCCGGCCTTGGGCGGCAATGCTGGTTCGGTACTTGCACCTTTGCAGGAACTCGAAGGGTCCATGAACGGCTTAGGTTTCAGGGTTTAGGGTTTAGGGTTTAGGGTTTAGGGTTCTCAGATAGGTCATGCTGCCACCCTTACTGCTACTACCTTCCCTGTGCTCATTAGTTCTTGCTAGGATGCCACTATGGTGCCTGTGATGATGAATAGGCTTGGGAGTATGACGGTCGTCATGATGATGCCGATGATTGGCGGCAGTTTCGGTGATGATCGCAGCCGTTGTCATCAACCGTATGCATACTGCCTTTACTACATAAATGCGGGGGATAACAATTATGCTAGTGCTATTAACTATCGTGCTTACCACCATTGTGAGCAGTAGCAGCAGTACTCCTTCCCCTGCTGCTGGGGTTGGAGTAGTAGCGAATAGAAGTTGGAGTGTTTGTAGTACAGTTGCAGCAGCAACAGCGGGCGCTGGAGTACCAGCAGCTGCAGCCAGCATCAGCAGGCGCATCAGAACCAGCCGTTGTCGTAGTAGGATCGGCAGCTCTGCATGAGTTCGACAGTGGTGCAGAACCCTCAATGCAGGCAAACGTCGCAGGCCTGCATCCTTTTGAGCGCACCCTGACTTGCTTCCCAGCACCTTCAAGTTACAGCGCAACAACCAGTATCAGTCTTGCAAGCAAGAGCCGACAGCCCGAAATCAGAGTCTTGGGAGTTTCTGCCTTGTAGCTGTCCTGTTGCGCGTCCTCATCCTAATCTTTGCGGATCCTGGCGAGTTCGATGCGAGAACCCGGCCTTCAGCGTCGAGGCTGATCCGGTACCTCACAGGCTTTCGAACCCCGCGAAACAGAGCGAACTGACTAGGCGTACTCGGCCAGCTGACATCAGTATCACTGTTGCTACTACTAGCATTGCTGTGATCACGACTGCAGCTGCGATATTTCTGATGCTGAGGCTGCCAATGATGGAGGTGGTGATGATGATGATGGTGGTGGGTGAGCTTGACTTTCATCTGATCACTGTACTTCTGCCACTTGTCACTGCTGAAGATCGTAGCGGAAGCAGCTATTGTTGTGGCAGCCAGTCGCGGTCAAGTTGGTTCTGCTTCTCATGGTTCTCAATGCTGCCTAGCATTCTACAACTGCTACTATTGCTCCGCATGCGCCATTGCTACCAGCCGTATTGTCGCTGCATCAGTGACCACAATGATTGCACTCACCGTAATTACTTCTAAGCACGTGGTTGAGAGCTGGCATTTTAATGGGTATCATGGCTACTCGCTACTACAGCTACGTTCGCTGCCGATAACAAACAAAGCTGCAACAGCGGCCACAACAATGACGACCCCCCAAACCTTGATGAACTTGGTAACCTGGTCATCAAAGACAGCCATAAGCTATCTCGCTCCTCAATGCACGACTGCTTCTCTCTCTGAATAGACCCTTCATTCCGGCTGTTGACCAAGTCAGCTGGCTTTCAACAGCCCGAAGTACAGTGCCCTCAGAATCGGCGATTGCAGCAGGCCTGCGCCGTCTTCGCGCACGGCCGACTTGCTTCGCAGCACCTTTAGGCTGCTGGCCTGCCACATGTCTAAGAAGCAGATCCTCAACAGTGAGCCTGGGAAATGCGCCGCATGCCAATGCAAAGACGACAAGCACCAGGTTACCAAAACAAGCACTGCAGTTGTTGAGCGCTTGCAATCCGTCTCCGAGTGTCAAGTGACAGGGAGCTTTAGTTTCTGAGGGCTTGTCCTTATGTGCACCGCAGGTCTATACCAAGCGTCCCATATTCTGAAGCTTCCGAACAAACCTGCCTTCGGGGTCGAAGATTGCTCCTTACCTTCCCAGGCTTCAGGGAAAAACTCGGGGAATAAAGTCTGAGTTGGGGGTTCAGGGCTTAATACAGCATTGAGGGGTTCGAAGTTTGAACAAGCGCAGCGTCCCATTGCCGCTTGGGCGTACCACCTGCATTGTCCTATACCGCAATATGGCTTAGCCGAGACTCAGCATGGTGCTTCTTCTGTCGTGATGCTGACGGCGAGGGTGATGATGATTATTGTTACGATGGTTATGTTGGCGATGGTGCTGGTGGTATGGTGATGCTGATGATGAAGATGATGATGATGACGAAGCAGATGCTGCCGACAATGATGATGATGGTAGTGCCGCTGGTGACGATAGAACTGATTTTAGTAATGACGATGTTACCACCACTGCCATTGCTGTTTCGGAGCACTATGAACCTGACTATGAACCTGACCGTGTGGACGTGTACAGTCCTATGGCATTCATAAGTGCTTCCACCCATCAAACCTGCCATAAAAATTACAGCATCGATAGTTGACGCTCTACTCTAAGCCTCTGCCTTCTCCGGTCACAGCCTCTCGGTGTGACTTCCACACAAATCTCTTGCTGTAGGCGACCGTTGCAGGCCTGCGCCATCTTCGCAACCGACCGACTTGTTCACCTTGACGGCACGGACTCACAGGGCTTCCGGCGCTGGAGAGATGCAGACTACTTAAACGCGGGACAACAGGCTAGCAGCAGTGAGTATGAGCATGAGTATGAGCATCCGTCTGAGGACCTGAATGCCTGTTTGCTTTGGGCCAGCACCCGGAAGTCTTTCATAGTAATTTTCGATGAAGACACAGAGTTACTTGCGTAGCATCAACCGGAATTGCGGTCACACTCGCGCGAGCGCTGAGAAACTATGGGTGGTCGGAGGTAGCGGTTCCTTTTCAGACTCCGCGCCGCAAGCAGGTACTTGCGTCCGACAGGCTTCCAGCGAACATGAATAGCCCAGAAACCAATCCCGTTCGGAATTAGGGGCCTGTGCATGTGCGTCTCCTTCAGATGGACTGCGCCCAAGCCTGCAGAAAGAGATTTAGCTGCACCAGGAGAAGAATGCCACATCGCACTACCGACTTCAAGGAACACGCACCTGCTATGGGGCTCGCCGTGTGTATTGCCAGCACTCGACTCTGCAAGCGAAATCTGATCAGCAGCCCTCCTAAACCCTAAACCCCTAATAGAGGGGCCTTAATAGTTACCTATACTATTTTGCGGGTTCCTTATTATGGTTATAGTACAATACACCCCAAAACCCTATTCTGATTATTCAGGCCCTTATATTACACCCTAAACCCTAAACAAGGTCTTTCGTCTCGGAAATCCCCGGAACGAAAGCCTCCGGCGCCGGCTCTTCGGCGTAGCGGAACGAAGCTCAGCTGGAAGTGGTCTGATGTAAGGGCATTATTAATTAGAATACGGTTTAAAGGTATATTCAAAAGGAACCCCCAAAATAGTATAGGTTTGAGAGGGCCAAAGAGGCTAGAGGCAAGGTGGTTGCAAATAACTACTTTTAGGAAAACAATAGGAATTCAATAGGATCTTGGGGTTCCTTTGGAATAGGAAAACAATAGGCTTTTGGATAGGATTTAGGAGTGGTCAGCTGAAGGGCTTTTATTTCTATAGGACTGTAGTGAG